GGTAGATATGCACGTACGAAAGGATGAATGGATGGATGTGTGGATGGATGGAAAAACGGATCAATGGATGGATGAACATATAGATGAATGGATGGATGCATGCATTGATGGATGGATGGGTAGATGCATGGATGATGGATGGATGCATTGATGAATGGATGGATGGATGGATTGATGGATGGATGTATGGATGGATGAATGGAGTGATATATTGATGGATTTATGCATGGATGCATGGATGGATGGATGTATTAATGGAAGATGGATGAATGGATGAATGAATGGATGATGGGTGGTTGGATTGATGCATGGATGGATTGATGAACACATGGATAGATGCATTGATGGATGATAGATGGAGGTATGGATCAATGGTAGATGGATGAACAGATGCATCAATGGGTGGAAGGATGGATGGATGGATGCATGGATATATGGCTGATGGATGGATGGATAAATGCATGGGTAGATGCATGGATGCATGGATTGATGGATGGATTTATGCATGGATGGATGGATGAATGGATGGATGAATGGATGCATGTATGTATGGATTGATGGATGTATGGATGCATGGAGGGTTGGATGGATGGATGGATGGATGGATGCATGGATGGATTATGAATTAATGTATTTATTAATGATGGATGGATGGATGAATGCATGGATGGATGAATGCATAGATAGATGAATGGATGGATAGATGGATGGATGAAGGATGGATTTATGGATGAATAAATGCATGGATGGATGGATGAATGGATGCATGAATGGATGGATGGATGGATTGACAAATGGATGGATGCATGCATGCATGCATGGATGGATAGATGGATGGATGGATGAATGCATGGGTAGATGAATGGATGAATGTATAGATGGATGAATGGATGCATACATTCATTCATACATGTAAAGCACTTTGAGAATCTTGATAAGGTAGAAAAGTGCCATATATATGCTGTCCATTTACAATTTACCATGGATGTCTGAATGAATGGATGGATGGACGGATGATGGATGTACATTTAATGATCACATTCGTAAAGTTTCATTCAGTGGTTAAAATAAATATTTTTCAACAGAAAGGCAGAGTTTTTCGCAATAGAGGCTGGAAACATGAAAAAAAGATTTTGCATTATTAACGACTTGTGTTTTGAATGTCTTTCAGCTAACACACATTTTAGCTTTGTAACTTTGACTGTGTTATAGCCATTTAAAATATGTCCTGTTTTCTTAAAATATTTTGCTAACACTTCAGACAAAGATACATAGACATGAGCAAAAACATTATCACCTTTGTCATTGAGTGATAAGACAAAATTTAAACCATGAACTTACGGTTGAAAATACAAAATTAAAAATATGAAACAGAAGTTCCTGTTCTGTTTTAGTTTCAAATGTAAGTGGGAGTCAAAGTAAAATAATTTATAATCTCTGCAATGTCAGATTCTCACATGTCCTAAATGTTCTTTGATTTAGTCATCCATCTGTTGCATTTAACTTCTGGCACAAAAAAATCCACCCAGTAGCCAATAAAATCTTTAAGCTTCACATTGAGACTCTCCAAAGTATTTACTGACTTGATTTTTAACACAATTTGCTTATGACTCAAGGTACTTGGAAAAAATATCAACTTACTTCACTTTATGTACCCAAGTTTTAACAGAAGATCTTTGTAGCAACATACTATTCTTGGGTTATATGAATTTTGTCCATGTTTCCACCGATGGCATTTAATTTTAAACGTCTTCTCTCTTTCAGCTTCACCTGGCCTTTGGATCTACCTTTGAGTGGGCACGTAGCAAAAGTTCTTAAAGGTCAGATTTTCATCTCAGGGGGCCAAAGCAGCGACTTCCTGTGTCTTTCATCCATGTTTCTGTACCACCCAGAGACAGGCAGCACATTTCTGGCAAATATGAGCAGTCCTCGAGCTCATCACTGCATGGAAACCCTGGGAGATTGTCTTTACGTCGCAGGAGGAATCACAGCGGATCATAGTATGACTGTTATCGATCAGCTAGCATGTGAAGTGTACTGCCCAGCTACTGACAGCTGGACTGCCTTCACATCGCTGCTGGTGCCACATGTAGGAGCAGGAAGTGCAGTTTTGGAGGGAAAGTTTTATTTGTTGGGTGGGTACAGTCAGGAAGACTGCAGCGACACTAACATGGTTCATCGGTACAACCCTGTCACACAAAAATGGGAGAACGTTGGAGAGATGCCTGGACCGAATAATGATTTACAGGCATGTGTGCTGTGTTTGCCACAACATTTACGAATGTAAGACGTCATGGCAAAGATCATGGCTACAACTGCTTTATTAACTTTAACATTGTTAATTGGGGCGGGGTGGGGGGCATCAGACTGCAAAGGTGATCAGTTTTTGTTATAGGCTCTGAAAGGCATTGTTCGGTATATGCCGATCAATGCCGATCTATACACTGCTCATTTCATACCATGAGACCAGTTTGGACTCTCTTAAACTGAAATGGGAAACGGACTTGGAGGAATCCATATCAGACTCAATCCGGCGAAAGATCATTCAGAACATTTATTCATCCTCACTCTGTCTGAGACGTGCTGTAATTCAATTCAAGGCGGTTCATTGGCTGCGCTGGTTCAGAGACAAGTTGTCCAAAATCAAAGCCGACTTGGACCCCGCATGTAATCGTTGTAAACAAACTTCAGCTACGTGCATACATTCTGGACTTGTCCCAAACTGCGGACCTTTTGACAATCTATTTTTGACACCTTCTCTGGAATATGTGGCTTCAAACAGCCACTCCCATGTCAGAAATGTGGGAGTTATTTTTGATCGTGCTTTTAAATTAGACAAACAGATAAATGCAATTGTGCAATCCAGTTTCTTCCAACTAAGAGTCATTGCCAAGGTGAGGCCTTGTGTCTCTTTCAGAGACCTTGAAAAGGTGTTTCACACTTTTATTAGCTCTCGTTTGGACTATTGTAATTCATTGTATGTTGGTTTAGACAAATCATCTTTGCATCGTTTACAATCTGTCCAGAACGCAGCAGCTCGTCTTTTAACAGAAACTAAAAAACATGAACGCATAACCCCTGTCCTGGCTTCTCTCCACTGGCTTCCTGTCCACTTCACGGTTGATTTTAAGATTTTATTGCTTGTTTTTAAAGTCATACGAGGTCTGGCCCTGTCTTATTTATGTGATCTTATTAACACCTACACTCCAGTAAGAGCACTCCGGTCTACCAACCAGTCCCTCTCAGAAGTTCCCAGATCCAAACTGAAGTCCAGAGGAGATCGAGCTTTTGCGGTTGCTGCTCCAAAACTGTGGAACAGTTTACCTGATCATTTAAAGACTGATGGCTGTTGAGACTTTTAAATATTTGCTTATGTAGAGGAATATATGTATAGGATATTGGACTTCTGCTCCGGGCACCCTTTAACAGGTATTTATGCTAACGTAACCTAGTCCGGCCTCACCTCAAACATATATAAACACGAGTTCTTGTAGCGAACTTAATTCCTGTCCCTCGAAGAAAAACACAAAGGATCCATAATTTAAATACAATTCTGTAACGTTTATTTTCAGTTTGAATTATGACATGGAAATTATGGCAAATATGGAATATTAATGAACAACCAATAGTATTATTTTAGAAAATCTGAAGACTTTGAGAAGGAGTTATAGATTCAATTTGGACAAAGGTTATTAGCGCTTAACGATAAAATTTAGGTAAGTTTATCTCAGATTCATGAATTAAATTATCTAAAGAAAGACGTCACTTAGCGTTCGTCAGAAGGAAGACGTTTTCATCCTACCGCGGAGACGTCCATTCTCATTACCATGGCGGATGCGATGACTTTGAGGCAGGAGGTTCACGTTGTCACCCGAAAGGGAGTTTTCCTTCGAGGACAACAGCTCCTTCAGCAGTGTGCTTCACTCCTCAGGGTGTTTGAGCGTTTCAGGACTTCTGGGTTGACTCAGAGTCAACTCTCCAACAGGACAAGTTCCTCATCATGGCCGCTTCTCAGAGAGTTTTATCAACTGCCCACTGCTGCATGGAAAACGACCACTCATTCCATAAGCTCAGCTCAGTTGCTGAAGCTCAACTTCACTCATCGGCTGCCCAAGCTCAACTCCTGGTGTTCTGTTTACCTGACACCCAGAAGACTTGTCCACTTAACTTTTAACCAATCAGAGGGCTTCTTACAGTAGGTGTATCCCGACTGTATAATTTAATGTAACTGAACCTCCCTTCTCAAAAGTTTCTCAGAGACGATAACGCAATAGCCTTTGTTAAGGAGTGACACCTTGTTTTACATAAACAAAATAATGAGTTTGAAGTTCTGCTCAAGTGAGGTCTTACTTCCTCCATTACCATGGCAACTTCAGGTTCTGTTGATAAGACCAGGTGAAGCTCTTTGATCAAGAACTCTTTGGGAGGCACAAAGTCTGACCTATTATCATTAGTGAATACGTCAGGGTGGTCCAAGCTGTAGATTTTAACACAACAGAAAAAGGATAACAAAGAAACTTCCTGCAATGGAAAGCATAATGCCATACTGTCTCAGATTAGTAGAAAAGGAGGGGTGGATAGACGTAGTGTCTCTGAGGACATTTGTCTTTGTTAAGGTCCTTAGAAGGATGGACGCGACACTTAAGACTCATCTTTATACTTTTGGCATTTGATCCATGCAGAGTCTGAGAACAAGTTTGAGCTGATTTTTATTGTTGTTGTGTTGTATTTTATTGTTAGCTATGTGTTTTTTGAGTGGCACAAAATGTTTTTTTTTTTCTCTTTTTCAACTGATTTAACTGTAAAGCACTTTGGTCAGCGTTTGTTATTTTTTTGTGCTATAGAAATACATTGACATTGACATTAACTGTTCACCCATCACCACTCATCTCACTGTTCGGGGTGGTCATTCTCTCTTCTGGCCAGGAGACTGGTTTTGTGCAGTTGGAAGGACTCACACCATCCAGCATATGTACATTGGATAAGAGAACTGATGCGTCATATTCATCTAGAAAAAAATTAGACATACCCTGAAAGGTTCTGTAAAAATATTCTGGGACACCTGGAAGCCTTTTGTGTCGTATGTTGAAAATATGTTTGTACCTGTATAAAGACATTTATGTATGTGTGGCTGATCTGGTGTGGGTGGGGAGGGGCGGGAGGTGATTCTGTTCTTTGTTGTGTATGTGTTAAAAAAAAAAAAAAAAAACTTAATAAAAATACTTTGATTTAAAAAAAGGAAAACAAAAATAAACAGAAATGTTTGCATAACTCACTTCAGATATACAATGAATACAACAATTATTGATAAAATTGCAAGAAGATGAAGATGATAAAATGGGATTTATTTCTACTTTGAACAGTTATTTATTTATTTTTTTTTTTTAAGCAGCAACCTACACAGCAACAAATGTGGTCAGAAGTTTGCATACAAAAATCATGGGCATACATGCAATTCATTTTGGAATTTTAACAACTTATTAGAACAAAACTAAAGTTAGTTTCAGTGATCAATGAAAAGAGGAATTGGATAATTGTTGGCTATTTTAAGTTTATTGTGGATATTCAGTAATCCACTCACAATCATTCATATAAATATATATATATATATATATATATAAGGCCTACTATATGTGTATGTGTGCGTGTGTGTGCACATTCATATTTATCTTTAATGAGTATTGCTTAAAATATCTAGAACATCTTAACTTGACAAGGCGGCCTGTGATTGTCTCATTAGTAACCATGATTGAGCGCAACTAGTAGTTTCTCTTTGCAAACGTACAGATTTGTTTGACAGAACTCCACAGCCCTATTTCACAACAAAAAATGTAACATGAAGCACAACTGTAATGATAAGCCCGTGTTCCATATCTGCAACATGCATGCTGGTTGTTTCATGAAAATGCTAACAAATAGAACGTCTATGCAGTTCTCGTCAATACACCTGTGCTTTCCCTGTTCTTTCAGGTCAGGATGTCTTTCCTGAAATAGATGATGAAACTCAGTACCATTTTTGACAACATGAGGGAAAATTATTTTTAAAAGACACAATGTTCCTATGAAGAGCACAACAATATAATCAATAGTATATTTAGACTGTCTTGATGCAAAATCAATAAATAGCTCAACCCAGCAGTTTTTTTAGATAACAAAAAACAAAATTACTTGTACTATTTTTTTCACAAGGCCTGTAACCAGACAGCTGAGGGGTGGGGTATTAAAGTTTAGAGCAGATAAAGTTAAACTTTTCATTATCATTTATTTTGAACCACTGATGTTGTCCTCCTGTTGCCATGGCACCAGACATGTCACAGTCATCCATCAGTCCATCTGAGACCCAGTTCTTATAGCTGACCACCTCGTCACTGACCCAGAACCAGAAGTCCAGAGTGCAGGTGTACCTCAGTCCCATCCAGACAAAAGGAGTCGAGGCCTTCTTGGCTTTCTCCTGCACCCATCTCTGCTCATCAAGGTTGGTGATGGTGACCAGGTCATGGTGGTGATCTCTGCAGTAGTACAAGGCCTCCTCCCAGGTTTTATTCTCTTTAATCAGGATCACTTGATCTGTCAGGGGAAAAGTAAAAACAGTATCAAAACTGCTAATTAAACCCGACCGCACAGTGTAGGGGTTACGCTCCAGGTTACCAACCTGATGACGTGAGTTTGAGTCCAAGCCATGACTTTAAAAAATACTAAAAATCACAATAGTATCAAAGTCATGGCTATAAAAGTTGTGGCAAGGCATCTTGGAATAAAACTGCTAATGAAATGATCAGATTTTTATGTCTTTCTTAAATTTACTCAAAACTGAAAGGAAATAAATACTTCCCCAGTGCTTAATTTGTAAACTGATCAATGCCAGAACGCAAATAGTGGGCGCGACGGGGGTTGGGGAGGGGGCGTTGGGGGTGGGGGGCAGAGCAGAGGGAGCTTGTTGGTCCTCCTCCCCCTTAAATTTTTGAAAGAAGTAAATGTGATTTCCTGCATTTTGGTGTAGCCTATTTTAACATGTTGGTAAACATCTACGCTTGTAAACACTTGAATAAATTACTATTTTAGAACGCAACAGGTTGTGTGTGAATAGAGCACATCCGATTCTGTCAAGCGTCCTACCCCCCCACCCCCACACACTTCATGTTTCTAAATCAATTTTCTCCGCTGAATTAATTCCTGCGCTGCTCCAATCTCAGTTACGAATGACTTCTCAATTGTCCAACTAAGGACAATCCATCCATTTATTTAATTAAAGTAAACTGGACTGTCTTTTCAACATTTTGATCGCTATTATTTTGACAAATTAGCGCCGTTGTTTTGATACGTGATTAATATGAATAATACATCAAACATTTCTCTCCTTTTTTTTTTTTTTACTGTAGCTAAGCTTCTTTTTTTATTTATATCTGAACATATGTGTGAGTTCACATCAGCAGTTGTGTGCCCTCAAAACTGTCTGGAGATGCTGCTGTGTGTAAGGTATGGCAATCCAAGTAGACCAATAATAGCCACTTTTACCACACGTCTGGCTATTAATGGACTGCTTGGCTTGCCATAAAGAGGAAGACGTTCACTTCATCCCTGCTGGACATGCTGTCTGCATCTCTGCTGGCCAGGAGTGTGTGCGCGAGCTGGTGCGTCTGCTGCACACGTAATATTCACTCCACAGACTGGGCAACATCTCCTCTCTTTGTATTTTTAATAAATAATCTAAACTAAAAAATGCACAATGACTTTGGACTTTTAGAGGCAGAGATATGAGTTGCCGGATCCGAGCAAATAGTTGCCAGACCGCACCCGGTCAAAATGAGAGAGTTCCCAGATCTTGTTCCGGCAGGATCCAGCTCCAATAAAGCGCTGCCAGGGTCAAAACGTCAAGGTCCCACTTGGCTACCACCCATGGCACCAGTTCTGCAATTGAATGTGGGGAAAGTTCTTTAAAAAAAAAAAAAAACTCACCATCATAACAGATGAGGGGTTTTCTGTCAGCACATTGCTCATCCTTCCATCTGCCTTCATCGTCTAACGCAGTCACCGCACATTGATTACTTGCTTGATCATCAAACTCTGAGTTCCAGTGTCTGAAAGAGAAACTACTTCCATCTGACCAGGTCCAGCTGTCTCTGAACAGCCCAAAATAAATAATATTGTCTTTGACAGAACTGAGTGCAGTCTTGAGTTGTTCATCCTGTAGTTGGTTCGGTCCACTGATCAGGTCTGTGTGTTTGTCTCTGCAGTAACTCTGAGCTTCCAGCCAGCTCTTTGGTTCTTGTATGAAATGGACTTTCTTTGATGTGCTTCTTTCTGTGGAGCAAAGAGACAAACTCACATCAATGTTTAAATCTTTTAGCTGAACATAAAACCTGGTGCAGAGACATTAGCAGCGATAGGTAAAAAAACATATACCGTAGTGTTAAATTGACTTTGACTGCACTGCGCATTTGGATTAGATTATTTTTCTTTATCATTTTAGAAATAAATCATTATGTGTTATCTAAGACTTGACTGTTTTAATGAGTTGCAGAGTTTAGATACTGAGTTCTATGAATACTCACCATCAAAACAGGTGAATGTTTTCTTTGGCTGACAAGAGTGATCTCCCCATGTCAAGTGTTTCCAGATAAACCCACAATTTTCAGTACCGTTTGTTCCTCTATCAGTTGGTTCTCCTTTGATCCAGTTTGTCTCACTTTCTTTAAACTCCACTCCGGGCAGAGACCAGTGCCACGTCCTGTTGACACCAGTTTGCTCATAGAGACCAATCCAAGCCTCGGTGTTCTCTGCTGATATGTTGAGGATTCTCTTCATGTCCGTCATGTTAGACACTGTGGCCAGGTCAGAGTATATCTCTCTGCAGTACTGCTGAGCTTCAGTCCAGTTTTTATTCTCTTCAACAAAGTGATACTGATAGAGCTGACATATGGTGAAACAACACTGACCTGGAAACACAAAAGCTGTTACTGAATTCAATATTAAAAAAAATATATATCTGAATCAGAACTAATGAAGTGTTGAGTTGATTCTACTGTGTGTGCTCTCCTAGGACTTAAATCTCCGTCAGCTCTTCTCTGACTCCACATAAATCTGTCCTGTAGCTGTAAATAGAGACTGTAGTTAACTTACCCATCAGAAAGAGCAGAATCAGACTCCACTGCATTTTCTCTGTCAGATGGAATTATTTGACTGCAACACTTTATCTCTGTTGGATGAAGGACACATTTAAACACTTCATCTTGATGTTTTCAGACCTGCAGCTCTGCCTCCACTCTACAGAGGAACAATGCTGAGAGAGCAGGGAAACTGAAGCCGAACAGAGAAGAGAGTAGACAAGGAGCTGAACTTATGCATCTCACAGCAGAGGAGAGAAGAAGCGTAGTCCTGTCACGATAACAAATTCAATTAATTGTCTCAGAAATTATTGCGATAAACAATAATCCATCCATCCATCCATTATCTTTACCCGTTTATTCCATTTTGGGTCACGGGGGTCGCTGGTGCCCATGTCCAGCAATCACTGTGCGAGGGGCGGGGTACACCCTGGACGGGTCGCAAGTCCATCACAGGGCCACACAGAGACAAACGAGACAACCAACCATTCACTCTCTCACTCACACCTAAGGACAATTTAGAGTTACCAATCAGCCTAACATGCATGTTTTTGGTCTGTGGGAGGAAACCGGAGCACCCGGAGAAAACCCACGCATGCACGGAGAGAACATGCAAACTCCACCCAGAAAGGCCCCTGGACCGGGGTTTGAACCAGGGACCTGCTCGCTGAGAGGCAGCAGCTCTACCAGTTGCGCCACCGTGCTGCACATAAACAATAATATTGTTTGAAATTTAACAATAATTAATTGTCAAATTTTAGAAGAAATGTTGATTTGTTTGGAGTGTAGTACCTTTTTTGACCAACTGATGGCAGTATAAGACAGTTTGAATCAAAGGATGGATACAACAATTTTCAGCCAGGTCATCTGGACAGTTTCTTTTTTTGTCCTGAAACGTTTCACTTTCCATCCAGAAGGCTTCATCAGTCAAGGAAACACACAACACAAAAATGATTCTTCCCCCAACAGCTTACTCCAGATGGCCTGACTGAAAATTGTTGGATTGTATTCCTGGAGGGCAGCACGGTGGCGCAACTGGTCGCCTCTAAGCGAGCAGGTCACCAGTTCAAATCCCGGTCCAGGGGCCTTTCTGGGTGGAGTTTGCATGTTCTCTCCGTGCATGCGTGGGTTTTCTCCGGGTGCTCCGGTTTCCTCCCACAGACCAAAAACACACATGTTAGGGTGATTGGTAACTCTAAATTGTCCCTAGGTGTGAGTGAGAGAGTGAATGGTTATTTGTCTCTATGTGTCCCTGTAATGGACTTGCGACCCGCCCAAGGTGTATCCCGCCCCTCGCACAGTGATTGCCGGACATGGGCACCGGCGACCCCCGTGACCCAAAATGGAAGAAGCGGGTAAAGATAATGGATGGATGAATGTATGCCTGGACTATTGAGCATGGACTTTGTTGGTTTTGAACCATTTTGACATGACTGTCAATGAGGAAAAGGGCCGACACCAGAGGAGGGGGCGTGCCAAAGAGACCATTTTAGCACCAACAAAACTGGTTTGTTCCACTTTGGAGTAAGCTGTTGGGAGAAGAATTAGTTTTGTGTTGTGTCTTTCCTTGACTGATGAAGCCTTCTGGATGGAAGGTGAAACATTTCAGCACACACACAAAAAAAAACTGTCCAGATGACATGACTGAAAATTGTTGGATTGTATACCTGGATTATTGAGCATGGATTTTGTTGACAAAGGATGGCTAGTTGAGCATCCTGTCTCTTTATGAAAAATGGAAGGGAGGGCCCTGTCATTCCCCTATCTGTTATGGAAGCACGGTCCGTAGTGTACTTCTGGGTCGCATGGATCGCGGTTGTTCATAAATAAAAACTATCTTAATTTACGTTGAAAATTACATGTTTTATCTCCACTGATCAATGTTGCTAATTTATGCCGCTCGTATTTCCCTTCGGATCGCTGTTGTTTATGAGTAAAAACTGTCTTAATTTACTTAGAAAAGTACGTGCTCTATCTCCATCGATCTTCATGTAGCTAATTTACGCCAATTGTATTTCCGTTACAAATCATTGGTTAAGATGATATGTGCATTCGACCTGACCCCCAGCCTGTACTCAATGATAAAAATCCTGCTAGATACAGAATGAACTATTTCCATGGTTCAACAGTGCCACTCAGTGGTGAAGCTGCATATCATTTCTACCATGACATAAATATGTCAATGATTTTAACGGAAATACAAGTGGCGTGAATTAGCAACAGGAAAATCAGCGGAGATAGAGCACATACTTTTCTAAGTAAATTAAGACAGTTCTTATTCATAAACGGAATTATATCAGTACATTTTCCTTAATCTAGCATATTAAACGACGATCTGTGCGACCCTGAAGTATTCCTACACTACGGATCAGGTTCCGCAACAGATTGGGTAACCACAGGCCCTGGATGTGACATGGGCTGACATGGTGGCATGGTGGACACTCGGTGATTTGAACTCTTTATCATAGCATTTTTCACACAAACCTTTTAATAAAAAAAAAAACATTAAACAAGTTCTCAGCTTCTTTTGCAGAGAAAAACAACTTTTTACACAAAGGCACAGGTTTCAACCGTGAATTTTGGAGCTTTGACAAGACAGAGGTTTATTCACGAGGTCGAACTGTTAGCTTAGCTCGTAGCTTAACTTCTCAGTTTAGCTGCTTTTAACGATCCAAAAATGCGATTTGGGACAGTTAAAAAGAGAAAAAAGAAAGGGAGAGGTCAGTGAAGCGCACCAGAGTTGAACCTTTTGTCATCCAGTGTCCAGTAGAAAGAGAGACACGAAGAAACGATAAAGCTGATAAATGTAAATGAGGTCGATAATTTTTATTCAATATACAATTAATTGATTCATTGCTTATCGCGACAGGTCTGAAGAGAAGTCATGAGACAAAAAAATGTAAATTTTTGTTATTTCTGTTTTTGTTTACTGTGCGTTTGTTTAAGGTATTTAGACATTTTGTATTATTGCACTTTTCAGTTTTCTATGTAGGTTTGCTTTCAAAAGTGACACTTTTTTTGGTTTGCTTTTGACCTCTTCATCTACAGAAATTATATTTTTGGTGAATTAAATGAATGAACATAATATAAAATATAAATAAAAATGGGTTTAGAAAGCAAATTAGTACAAAAAGTTAGTTAAAACTACCTTGTTTCTCGATCCTGGTGAGTGAAGGTTCTTCTTGATGCTATGTTGAAATTGGTCTTAATGAAATGTTTCAGTCCAGCAAACAGATCTTTTCAACGCCTCCTCAGACTCAGTTTGAATATACAAAATAGGAAAAGTATGTCTCCTATTTGAAATACAATAATGGGTTACACTGTTTAAAGGTGCTTAAAGTTAATCTACAAGCAGCACTTTAGAGCCATGCTGATGTCTGTAGCAGCAACGCACTATTTAAATGTGAACACGAGCAGAAAACATTGATAAGCAAATATCATGAAGATACATTTTAAGGAGTTCAGTTCTGTCTGTTACATATTGCTGTTGTAATTACAGTGCACTGAAAATCCTTTAGGCTAAAACAAAAACACCATTAAAAACTGCCATTGGATATTAATGGATGACTGTCACTCTGGATATGTCATGTAAAACAGGTGTAATCAGATACACAATTATGGCCTCTCATTTGACAAGAATACTTTGGTTTGCATAGGAGTTTGTGGTTGAATCAATGGCTGCAATGTTTCCAGAGGGCTGTACATGCAAAACCAACCCAAATCATCAGCCCTCCACCCCCATGCTACATCCTGGCACAGACCTATGCTATGTTTGATATTTGCCAAACGTGGTGCTGTGCATTAGCTAAATATCTCAACTTTAGTCTCAGCTGAGCAAAAGGACATTGTTCCAGAAGTCTCGTAGTGCATTCAGACTTAACAACTGTAGCCACAAACTTAAGTTGTACTTACAAGATTTAAGGTATTCTCTTGCAATCTTTCCAAATGAGCCATAGTTGTTCAGACTTTTGCTGTTTACTATCATGAACTTGCTAACTGAGGCCTGTAAAGTTCAGCCTAAAGCTTTTATTTTTGTAGTTTCTCTAAATAATACATAGTCTGACATCGGTGCTCATTTCACTCCTGTGAAAAATGGCAGCTGTCTTCTAAATAATCTCACTCTATAGAATGATGGTCTACATATTTCTTGGAAATGACCTTTAACCCTTCCCAGACTGATTGGTACCAACTGCTGCTGCTCTAAGGTCATTGTTGATGTCTTTTTACCTTGGAATTGTGCTAACACACATCTGTATGTTCCACTGCAACAAATTGAAAAAAACTTCTGTTTTTACATGATGATTATTTGATCAGCAGCACCTGGCTGATACAGTCCCTTTTAAATCCTGTGGAAGCAGCAATAGTGAAAACCAGCCAATCAGGAGCACACGCCAGTGTATCTCTTGTGCCAGTTCCAAGTCTGGGTAAATGATGAGGGTTGTATCAGGATGGGCATCCAAAGTGAAACACTTTTGCCAAAACTATAAAGTGAGTTCATCTAAGTGACAGCATATCGGATCAGTCGAGGCCCGGGTTAACAACGACCGCCACCTGTGTTGTTGACAAACAGGGTGCTGGTGGAAATTATGCTACAGTTAGTCAAAGACCACGAGGAGGGAAACATGTCAGGAGACAGAGGGAGATGAGGAAAGTCAAGAATGTAGGACTGAGGGTTGCAACTCTAAATGTGGGGACAATGACAAGCAATGGTAGAGAGCTGGCTGACATGATGCAGAGAAGGAAGGTAGAATCTGTCGCGAGCTGCCTTCTCAGTGTGTTTTTATAACCTTATCAGTTCAGCCGGGTTCACAGAACTCAGAGGTGTCCTTGGCTGACAGCTTCATGCTGCATCCTCACTCAGTGCCTCGAGCAGCTCTCTCTGCTAACCCAAACATATGATTCATGGTTAGACATCATTAGGTCTTTATGAAAAAGATTGTAAGTTTGGCACGCAGAATTTTCCATTGTTCTGTAAATGAGATTTATTTGAACTATAGTCGTGTTTAGATAACTGTTTGCAGCCCTAAAAAAAGAACTGCATCAGAAAATGCTGGTGCACTCTGCTACATGCAATGCTTAACTACAAAGTAAATTTATATTTTCTAGCTGACTGACACGAGAAACACTGGATGTAAGTTTAGCTCAGTTGTTAAAGTGAATGTTGGCTTTTTGCAAGAAGCAGCTGATCCTATTCAAGTCTTATTTTAGACCACACCCGGTGCAGAGATACTGCTCATCTGAGTCTGCAGCATTTCTGGTGAATCTGCTGTTGGTATTTTCAGTAAGCTTGTTAACTTGCAGACTTCATGGTATAGGATGTGGAGAATCCGGGTTAGTTAAGACCTGAATCTTGTGAGTTCTGATTCAGTGAGGGATTTGTATCTTTATCCAGGTGTAACAGGCCAAATTAACCCCTGCCAGGACTTGTGGATATGGTTGCAAAAAATCAAGACTCTTTTTACCTTCGCATTAGGATTTTGTTCATAGATTTATCTTTCGCCTTTAACACTGTGGATATTAATAACTTGCTGAAATATCTGTTGCTTTTTATTAGACAGATGACAACAAGTGTTTTTAAATGGATTTAATTCAAACAAATCGATCTTAAACACTGGACTTCACCACGGATGTATCTCCTTTTCTCTTCTATATGTACTTTGTACACAAACTCTATTTCATGTACTAGTGAAGGAATGGCTCTTTTTAAACATGCAGAAGACATGGCTCTGGTGGCGCACCTGACCAGACCTGATGCCCTGTCCCACTAGCTATCAGTAGACTGTCCATGGTCTCCTCGTGACGTGCTCACTGAACTTGCTGGAGCTGAACGTTTCAGAGACTAAGGAGCTGTGCTGTGGGGGTTGAGCCCAAACACCAGAACTGTTGTTTAAACCACCGATCATCCACAGACAGCAGGTGGAGCAGGTGGAGCAGGTGGACATTTTTAAGCACCTTGGCACATAGATAGACACAAACACGTCTTTCTCACAGCACACTGACTCACTTTATAAGAAGGCCCAACAACATCTGTACCTGCTGAGGAACCTAAAGACCTTTCATGTCAGCAGGAGCACATTTACAATTTACAAGTCCCTGATTGAGTCCATTTTAACTTTTAATATTTCATCCTGGTTCAACCTCATTAATGTAAAACAGAAAGCCAAATTACATTGAATAATTAATCAAGAGCAATAACTGACTCGCCTCAGTGCTCACACATGATATACTCATGCGCATATATACCCATACATACATTCATGTTGCTGCTGATCTGTTTCATGTTGCTGCTGATCTGTTTCATGTTGCTGTGTTAATGCATGCTCATCTGCTCACACAGACTCATGCTCATGTTCATGCTGCTGTTTGACGTAATGTTTTTATGCTACTAGTGCTTAGTGTATATTTTGTTGATGTTTTTCTTAGTTTATATCTTAGAAGTTAACATTGTTTTTCTTTTACATTTCATTGTTGGATGTAACTGGGACCCTGTGTACATAATTTCGCTCCACCACAAACACCACATGTGGTGAGAATGACAATAAAGAATCTCTGACTCTGACATACCCATTATCTGGCCTGAGGGGTATGAATTGGCCTACGATATTCATACAAATGGTTTAGAGTTTTAAGATTTAAGTTTTCTCGTTTAACTTACTTGACAAAGCTGAATCCCCAATAAAATGTTGAAAAATTAAGTATTGTGTATATGACTCAATATTATTGACATCATGGGGAAATAATCTGGTATAAAGGGTATTAATAGGCCTAGGCCAAGTTATACCCGGGAGTATAAATTGGGATAGGCCATTAAATACTCCATGTATACACTGGCCTAGGCCCCTTTAATCCAATTATAGTCTCGCCTGGGGGTACAACATGTCCTGTTACACCGGATCAGAGAGTAACCGACCAACATTAAACAGGTAGAAAATATATTCTAAAGTCATTGGAGTATTGCCACAAGGTGGTATCGATTGAGTAATTATTCAAAATATATTTGCAATGTTGTGAACTCTGATGCTGACATGTCAAAGTGATTGTTTCTGCGTGGCTTTTCCTGTCCCTTATTTTCATCTAGACACTCTTTACATTGTTGGGACATATTTTTGTTTGTTTGTAGGTTTTTGGTGTTTGAAGCAATATTTTAACATTGTGGCAGTTTGACTGAAGATGTATATTTTAGTTTTCATAAACAGCACAACTAGGCCTATTGCAATAAATAATAAATCAGTTATTCGCATGATGAATGAAAATCATCTACCTCATTTTCATTTATCGGCTTTATCGTTTTTCGTGTCTCTCTATTTCTACTGAAGACACTGGATGACTAAAAGCTCAACTCTGGTGCTCTTCACTGACCCCTCCCTTTCTCTTTGCTCTTTAAAATCCATTTTAACCGTCCAAAATTGCATTTTTGGATTGTTAAAAGCAGCTAAGCTGAGATGCTAAGCTACGAGCTAAGCTAACAGGCTGACCTCGGGAAAAAAAAACCCTCCGTCTTGTTGAAGCTCCAAAATTCACAGCTGAAACCTGTGATTTGGTGTAAAAAGTTGTTTTTCTCTGAAAAAAGAAGTTGAGAACTTGTTTAGTGATTTTCTGTAATTAAAAGCTTTGTGTGAAAAATGCTATGCTAAAGAGCTCAGACCACACCGAGCATCCGCCATTTTGAGAACCGAAGAAAGACAGCCCATGTCACGTCAAGGGGCCTCCCCCCATTTTTCTTAGAAACACACTGCTTGCTCCCTTACTATCCATCCTTCGGTTCAGTCTCATCAGTCTCATACTGCCATCTGGTGGTCGAAAAAAGGTACTACGTGCAAAACAAATGACCAAACATTTCTTCTTAAATTTGATAATAACGACTAATTATTGTCAATTTTTTTTAAAAAAGAAAGCGAAAAAAGGAAAAACAAATTTGTCAAATTTCAAACAATTTTATCGTTTATTGCAGGAATTCCTAAGACAATTAATTGCCCTGCAATATTTGTTATCATGACAGGTCTAAGCACAACTGTATACTGATGGGAGACAGTAACAAATGCGTCCACATTTTTCTTCAACAACAAAATACATTTGTTTCATTTGAACCAGATATTTTAAAATTGCTGACATTTTATGTATACCTCTTAGTTTCCCACATAACCACAAAAAAATTAGAAAAAAAAAACAGATTAAACTATGAGTTTCTTCAATCTTGGATAATATTTTAGTAGAGAAGCATTAGGCACAATATACTTCAAGAAACAGTACTCAGCACTAGGTACAAGGGTGTCAGAAGCATCCGTAATGTGGGGGAGACACAATGATGTGTGTAGGTGTGTGTGCGCGCACGCTAAAACGTGTACACTAGTGTACAAAAAAACAACATTTTACCTAGATTTTCTTTAATTCCACATATTTTAAGCATGTTTCTCACCAAGTTTGTGTAAATTCAGCTGTGGGTTTTAAAGACATTTTAACTTTAATACACTTTAACACAGAGCGTCAGGTCAGCACTATTTGTGTTTATAGAGAAATAAAAAACATCACCACTGGACTTTTTTAAACTTGTGTTCAACACTCCTCATCTAAATGATGTTTCTCACGAAGCTTGAGGACAATAAGGTGTGAGGTTTTAAAAACATTTACACTTTAATGCACCTGAACACACCTGCACCTGCAACGTCTTACAGCGTCACAGTTACTGTTAAGCTAAGATGCTACAGACGTAGCGCTGCACTTCTCTCCTCCTAACCATGTATATATGTTTAAGATCAAACCCCCTGGTCAACAACTGCCTGCACTGAGCTAGCTAAACTGGCGAGTGATCAACACAGAAGTGTCTCCATCTCCTCCACTTTTGTGCATTTTCTGCCGAGGCAGGAGACTCAGTGAGTGGAGTGGAGGTAACCTGGAAAACCTGGAGTGGCGTTTTAGTAGCTTGAGTATTCTCCTATTAATCAAGTGGAATGGATTCGTTCACGAAGAAAGAGAAACTGCACCAACAGACTAATGTTTTATAGTAAAAGTAGATGGGTCCAAATGAGCGTTTTGTTAATGTAGGGGGGACTTGTCCTCTTCACATATAATGGTTGTGATGCCTATGACTATGTAGCTATGCTCCAATGTCTGTTGAATATTTTTTTCTATAAGTTGAGGTCAATATTGGAGTGAAATATTAACTAAAACAAAACAAAATTGTTTATATTTGCTGCTTCTCTCTAAATATCAGCATTCCCAACTTAGCTGAAGTTATCTCCAAATTTTTGAGTTTTGATTTTGTTGGTACATGCACATGAAGATTGGATGATTTGTGTATTGGTATCAACATCTTAGTGTCTAAAGTGCTGGGGCAAGCGGAGAAGACAAGCCTTTATATCAGTTACAGCCCCTGGTAATTTCCCCATGTTCTCCCACCGCTGTGTGGTGGCATCAAAACGATGAACCAGTCCAGACTCACTGTAGTCCTCCTGGCAATATCCCCCAAGTATGTAGATCTTGTCCTCCAATATGGCCAAGGCGGCACCTACATGGGGCATTGGCAGCGATGCAAAACTAGTCCAGGAGTCGGTTTTGGGATCATACACTTCACAGGCAAGTTGGTCTGTATAAAATGACCTCATATTGCACACCCCACCAGCAACATAAAGATGCCCTTGCAGGGTTTCCATGCAGTGTTGAGCCCTGTCATGGGTCATATCAGTCAAGTGGACAGTTCCCCTCTCTGGGTGGTACAGGAACATGGAATCCAGACAAACAAACTTACAGTTGAAACCTCCAGAAACAAAAATCTCTTCATTGATTACAGTGACAGCATATCCACTGAGAGCCTGGTCCAGGGGTCTGACAAAGCTGGTGAAAAAGACAGCATATATGGAATAAGTTATCATTTGATTTTAAAGAAAGCACAGTTGAAAACCAAACATTATATTTTTTGTTTTCCTATAGCATTTTCAAGAATGAGACAAGTAACATGGACATAATCTAATAGGACCATTTTAAACCCCACGAGCATGACTTAGTGGTATTTTGACTAAACTCGTACTGTAACTTTTTAAAAAGTTTTTTCTTTTTGTTTATTTTCTATGGATAACATTTACTGAACTCAAAACAAAATTTGAAAACTCTAAATGTACTTTTTTTCAGTTAAACATTGGATATGTTCTTGAAGGGAAATAATGTTTTCTAAAGCAAAATGTTCCAAGAGAAATAGTGACATCTGCTGTCCAAATATTGGCATTGCATTTACGTAATAGTGAGAGAGTGGTCATAAACAAATTGACATGAGGAAACTCCACAATAATGGGCCAATGAGTCAATGCTTGCCATTCATACAGTAACTTATTGCATACTTTTCAAAACTGGCATGACATATTTTGTCTTGTTTGATTTGGTGCATGCTAAGAATAGATTGCTGTTCAGCTTTGTGTTCTGCCAATACAAAAGGTTGATACAGTGCAAACTTGTTCTAACTGGAAGTGACAATAACACTACCTCCAAGAGTCAGTCTCTGGTTTATACATCTCAACGCTATCTGTGTTGGCATTGATCTCTTTGTCTCCACCAATGGCACAAAGGTGGTCATGGTGTACCACCAAGGAGAAGTTACTTCTTGACTCATTCATGTCAGCTAGCCTCTTCCAGCTGTCCAATACAGGATCATAACTGAAAAATGTGCAGCGACAATAAGGAGAGATCGAATGAGAACATATTTAAGTGATGTGATAAAATGTTCATTTTTAGACTCGCGTATTTTCTTACCTGTAGGCTGACTTCATTATGTCATCTTTGGCGTAAAAGTAACATCCTCCAACTGCATACAACCTGTCTTTTATTACAGCCACTCCATGTCTGAACTTTGGCTTGTCTGGAATCTCACCAAGCTGCCTCCACTCTATGTCTTTCACTAACCCAGTGCCATTGCGTAAAGAGTTGGCAAACCAAATTTTCTTGCTTGGTATGCGTTGACCCACATCTGGATTTAGTTGGTCTCCCCCTACCACAACTATAACATCTTTAGGTTTCCTGACCCGACAACAATCCTTGGATTTTGGATGGCTGCAACCAAATTCCTTGAGTGCTGAGCCATAGAGTTCTACATCTTTGTCTGCAAAGCATTCCATACGCAGGTTAATGGCTCTGACTTCCCTGAACTCGCGAAAAGTCATAAGTGGGAAATGAACTCCAGTCATTAATAAACCAGCCTGGGTCAATCTCTCTTTAGGATCTGCCTCAATCCATGAAATTACAGCTCGAAATTGTTACGGTTTAACAAAATAGTACTCAAATTCAGACAAGGCTGAGAG